AGAGACCAAACAACAACTGCGCACCAGAATGAACGCACACCGGAAATCTATCAAAGACAGAAATACCCAATTACCGGTGGGGGCACATTTCTCACAGGAGGGCCGCTCTCTCTCCAATCTCTCATTCCATCCCGGAAGAGCACACACCAACTGCTGAAACTTCCTTAGCCTGAAGAAGGGTTTTTGAACCCGAAAGCTTGCTTAATAACTATTCTCCAACTATTTGGGTTGGTCTAATAAAAGATATCAGATTCACCCAAGGAACCTTGTCTGGTTACAGAATAGCATCCTTCCTAAACAGGGCAGCAATGAAATAAAAGAAGTTACCCAACTGCTAGAAAGAATCAGTGGGCACAGCTCTTCCTATGGGTTTGTACTCCACAGGGCACAAGGAGGGTGGGATGATCCCAGCCAACACCTCTAAGTGCTAATTGCCATGCAACAGTGGAAGAGTGATATTGTAGCCAGAAAATATGCGAGAGGCAAGGATTTCTTAGGGTGATATCATCTGTTGGACCACCTATGTAGCTGGGGTACGGTTAGACAAGCTTTCGCATGCAAGACATTCTTCCTCAGGTCTCAGCATTAATGACATACAAAGAATGAGTGGCAGATTGAAAAGCCACGAAGCCGGGGTACGGAGGGAAACACTGCCATCTCGGGTTTGCTTCTGGCATTGCATACGGATCCCTTTTTATCATCTTTCGGGCTAGGGGCTCTGCTCCTTGCTCTCTTTCCGGCACCAGCCACACGGGGTTACCGTGGTGTGATGATTAGCAGGGATCCTGGTTTTCTCCGATAACAACAAAGTCTCCAATTTTCAGATTAAAACAAGTAACCCAAAATCCACGTTTTCCCGTGATTTAAATGAAACACCACTATTTATAGTTGCCCTCCCATCTCTCTCTCTCTCTCTCTCTGTCTAGAGAGAGAGAGAGAGAGGCGTTTCATTTTAATCACGGAAAACTGGATTTTGGGTTACTTGTTTTAATCCGAAAATGTGGGATTTTTTTAATCAGAGAAAACCAGGATCCCCGGTGACCAGTGTTAACATCAGTGTAAATACAAAAGAGCACACACAACACAGCCCTGCCCTGCCCTGCCCTGCCCTGGGGTAACACCCCGGTTCAGTTCAGGATGGGAAAACTCCAGGTTATCCTATACGGCATAAATCCGCGCCAGCCTAAACGCTACGTATCTGCATCTTATCCCAGGGATAACCATGTGCTCCAGGGAAACAGTCCATAAAATGCACTCCCGTTATAACGCCCCCTCCCCCAACCACACACTGCTTTAAAGACTCCTGACAGCAGGTATCACTATTCTCGTTACACCGGGCACCAGGTTGTCCCCAACAGCCTTCTTTAATGAACTTTACACCCGAGCCCAGGGCAGGGCAAGGTCACAGGGTTGTACCGGACCTGCCCCATCACTCCCACCGCCAAGGACAGTGCGGGGTTCTCAGCCTTTTTTGCTCTGGAAGCAGCCGCAAACAACCCGGAGAGGGGTGGCATCTCCATCCTTGGAAGGTTTTAAGCCCCGGATAGACAAAGCCTTGGCTGGGATGATCTAGCTGGGGCTGGTCCTGCTTGGGCAGGGGGCTGGGCTAGGTTGCCCTCCTGAGGTCTCTTCCAACTCTAATTTTCTGTGAGTCTCTGCGGACTAGAGCGATGGCAGAGCTGGGGCAGGCCCGGCGGGCAGAGTGTCTCTGCCGCTGCGGATTCCCGTTTGGGGTGCCAGAGCCGCTGCTGCGGGCGGGGATGGGAATACCCAACCCAGCCCGAGGGAGCGCCAACGCCATATTACATCGCTCGCCCCGCCCCTCGCCGTTCTAGAACCCGCTCTCGCCCAATTATCGCCGGGGGCCTCAGAGCTCCGCCCAAACGCTCCTGTGGCGTCACCACCGGGGTGTCAGGCTGTGGGGCGGGGATTCCCGGCCGCGCTGCTGTGACGTAGCGCTCGCCCCGCGGCACGTGCGCCGGGTGAGGCCTTCTCTACCTGCTGCGGCGTCCGGAGCAGTTCCCCCGCTCGCCCGGCTCGGGGCCCGGCGGGACGCAGCGATCTCCCCGCTAGGCGATGGGCAAGAGCAGGGCGAAGGTGCCGCGGCTGCAGAGCGTGTTCCACGTGGCCAACAGCAAACTCCGCAAGGCCAAGGCCAAGCGCGTCACCACGGGCCTGAAGAAGGTGAGTGCGGCGCGGCCGGAGCAGAGCAGGGTGCAGGCGCAGGCGCAGCCCAAGACGGGGAGTTGGGGTTGGTGTAAGGGGGGGGGGGGCACAACATTCCCTTGGGGAAAGGAAAACCAAGGGTGCAGGGGACCTGCCTGGGAAGTGCTGCCCGTCCCCACCCAGCAGCGAACCACGGGCAGCCGGAGGTGCTGCCAGTACGGGGGCAGGGCAGAACTGATCCATACTAAGGTGTTTCAACTAGGAAAGTATTCATCCATCCCTGGCTCTTCCACTTTAACACACAAGGGTTCTCACCGGCATGAGGAGTTAAAAAACAGTCCCCCCCCCTTATGTGGGATCATACTGTACTCCGCACTGGTGAGAACACACCTGGAGGACTGTGTCCAGTTCCCGGTTCTGGGTGCTGCTCTTCAACAAGGACGTGGAAAAACTAGAGGGGTTCTAAAGAGCCACCTGTATGATCAGGGACTTGCAAAACAAGCCATACGAGGAGAGGCTGGGGGACTTGGGCCTCTTCAGCCTACAGAAGAGAAGGCTGAGAGGGGACTTGGTAGTGGCTTACCGCTGAATTATGGGAGTACATCAGGAACTGGGTGAACAGCTGTTCACCAGGACACTCCTGGGGATGACAAAGAGCAATGGATACAAACTCCTAGAAGGCAGCTTCAGGCTCGATTCCAGGAAAAACTCCTTCACAGTCAGGGTGTCCAGATTGTGGAACAAACTCCCTCTAGAGGTGGTGTAATCACCTACCCTGGACATCTTCAAAAGGAGACTGGACAGTCACCTCGCTGGGGTCACTTGACCCCAGTTGTATTTTCCTACCTAGTGCAGGGGACCTGGACCCTTTCAGCCCCAAACAGTCCAAGAATCTATGATGCTGTGAAGGCACTACTACATTGAGAAGAGGTTCAGATTTGCACTACCAGGAACATTCAGACAGATTTGGGTTCAGGGAAGAGCTGCTGCTGTGGGCACAGGGTGACATTTCTTCATCCCATTTTATCATTTGGAGGACACAAGGGTTTGGGTCTGGCCTCCATCCCGAGGAGAATCACATTACCCATGGAGGGGAAGTCCTATGCTCTGATGAATTGCAGTATTTCTGCGTGGGAATAATTTAGAACTAGCCAATAGCGGGGAACAAATTTGCATGCGGGTGGTGGGAACTCCTTTGCACCGTGCATTTCTCTTGCAACTTGAGCAATGCACCCTGCAAAGGAAGCTACAAATTGGCAGGAAATTCTCCCTTGCACCGGGGTTCTCCTCTGCAGCAGAAAACCCCATCGTGCAACGAAGCTGCAATTTAGCGGGTGTAATTCTAGTGCCGAAGCGCACACAAAATCATACCTTTGGGTTATGACAAGTGTCAACTAGTTTTTTAAAAAAAAACTTTGTATATTACTGTGCATACCTCTTTGGCAGATGGGTCAGGCTGTGGGGGTGGAGGGCAGCTAAGCAGGGATAAGCCTAAGCATGCATGTACCATATTTACCCAAATCCAGGATGGATTTGAATTTAAGAACCGCCCCCCTCCCCTATAATTCTATACATAGAAAGTTATTGGGGGGGGGTCATCTTAATTGTCCCCCCACTGCTGTGCTGGGAAAGCAGTGGCAGGGGGAGTGAGGGGCCAGATCCCTGTCCCTTGCTCCCACCCATGCCTATGCCTGCTCCCATGCCACTTCCCTCTACTACCAATCTCCCTCTCACCCTGTGACACTGCCTGCCCCCTCCATCCCCTGCTGCTTACCTTCTGCAGCAGCCTACTCTGGCTCTGGAGGCTCCAGGGCAGCAGTAGCAGTGGCCCTGGCCCAGCCCAGCCAGGTAGAAACAGCAGTGTGAGCTCTAGATCCTGTTGGTCCGGGGTGCAGCCAGAGATAAAGGTAAGGGGGAGAGAGACATTGAGAATCACTGCTCTAAGTGAACATTTTTCTGTCTAGATACTAATGATGTCTGTCTACATTTTATCTAAAAATCTCATAATTAATTAACTGCTTCTTTCCTTGTAATATTCTTCTAGGGTAGCACAGTATCCTTTTACACTTACAATGGGAAACTTAGCCATGAGATAGATAGGGGCAAGCCCTGAAAGTCCAGAACACAATTCTTAAGCCACAGTCCAGCAGTGTGCACAAAGCCATTCCCAGCCCTGCTTCATTTTGTCACCCTCAGTCACTGTCTCCACAACAGAAGTTGTTTTACAGTGCAGGCATCCAATAAAAGCGAGTAAATGGAAGTGTTTATATGTCCATTTTCTTGAATAGAGGCAAACCCATCACTAAATGTAATGTAATTTTTAATTCACTTACAATGGTGGTTCCAATATGAATGTTCAGATCTAGTAAAGGCTGGGAAACGCAAGAAAAAGTGAGTGTGCTCCCAAAGTGATACTGTACTTGTCTGTTAGACAGGTAGTTTTCATTTAGGATCCCTGTTAAAACTTAACAGCCTATGAAGCAATCGGAGTTGACAGGTAAAGGCCCAATGTATGACACTGAAGACAATCAAGATTAAAAGATTTCAAGTTGGTATGGCAATTTACATAATTGTATTTACCAACAAATTTGCTGAGAAACTAAGAAACCTTCCTGGAACTAGTTGCTTCTCTGTGTTGGCTAAAATTAACTGAAGGTGACAGTTTGAAACAATTTGTCTCACGTGTTCTATTTCTAGAAAAAAAACTTTTCCTCTTAAAGCCAATTTGGCAATATAAGCCCTCCTTTGTCAGTCTGTTGCTGGAGACCCATTTGGATTAGTGTTCTTTTAAAAACTCGCCACCAGACAACTTCAAGGTAAAAAGACTTTCAACCTTTCTCTGTGCCTGACCTGGACAAAATGAACTGTTCCAAACAGGAGACTTTACCACACCTTCAGCTCCCCTGTGAAATACAAATTTTCATTTCTACCAAGGAGAACTTTTACAATTTCTGCTGTCTCCTATGCCTGATGAAGGGTGAGTCTGCCCGAAAGCTTGCAAATAAAATATTTGTTTGCAAATATCTTGTTGGTCTAAAAAAAGGTATCACCTCTTCCACAAATGTCGATTCCATTTACTCAGTCAAGCAGTTAAAGCAGGATTTTAAGAATCGGCAAGCAGCTTCAGAAGTCAGGCTATGCATAGCCATGTTTAATTGCTATATAAATATCATGTACAGTGGACTATGTTAAATGCATATCTTCAAGACAAAAAAAAAAAAGGCTAACTCACCCAAACAATGTAAATAATGCCCTAACCACAGGAATGCAGTATGCAAAAAGCTCTTGACACCTTATTTTGGCTGCCTTGTTACTCAGAGAATCCTATGCCTCTAATAGCAGACTTAAAGTTGACAGGACCTAGTTCAGTTCTGATATTGGGAACTTTGGAACAGGCGACTGCTATGCAATTGTGGAAATAGACAGCATGGTTAAAATATTCCTATACAGATAGTACGTTTATTTTATGTAAAATTGAGATTGGCATTGTGTTATGAATTATGTACTTACCATATGCACACATAAGCAGAGTACATTCTAGCTTCATATCAGACTAATAAAATTATGTTAGTGTCTTAATTAAACTTCTCTTTTTCTTCTCTAAAGATAAACATTGTGAATAATGAAAAAATTAGCATGGTAGACAAAGCATTTACTGAAGTACAGAAAGAAGTCAAGCAACTATCAAAAGGAATTTCAGCAGAATCTCAAAAGGGACATCTGGTAAGATTTATAAAAGTGCCCTTTAATGTCTTATTGGCAGTGAGCATAATAGCATCCTCAGTTTAAAAGAGTGAAAGAATTTAATATTTTTAGCTCATCACTGAAAAAAGTGGTTGTGACTCAATGCAATGCTGTCAAATCTGAAGGTGATAACCTGATACGTACATTACTTTATTCCTTTCAACTAAATGTTAACATTGAAATCTATTAACAGAGTCTCAAAAAGATGCAAGTCCCACTTCTATCCGTTCAGATTCCCCTCAAAGGAAAACACATTTTGAAATTTGGTATTTCTGTATCTCGAGCTTTGATAGGGCTCCAATAATTGGTCTTCTTGGTACACGACAAATACAGTACTCTATACAGAAGAATGTACCTTCACCATTTTAGGATTGTGTAGACCCAGGATTTTGAAAAATGGGGTGCAAAGAGTTTACTGGCTTGGGGGATGGGCCAAGACTAGAGCTCTCAGTGGCAGAAAGCTTACTATGCATGCAGTAGATAGTTAAAGAGGGGTGCAACCCTGTGTCAGACTAGTGTTCCTCTATAATTAAGTCTGTTTTCATTTTATCCAGGTCCATTATGTTTTGGCCACTGGTCCAGCTAGTCTAGCAAGTCTTTTATCCCTCAAAAGTGAATAAATTATAGCACACATTTTATAACTTGTTGTCTAGACATACAAATATTCTAGCTTTCTTTCAGCAGTGAAATTAATATAAGTTTTATACTTATACTTTTTCAGGTTTCTAAACCCCTGGAAAGTGAACCAGCCAACGTGGATGCTGCTACAGACTTATTATCACAGTTGTAATGCACAATGACAGAGCTACAAATTTCAAAACCAAATAATGATGAAAACTACTAGATTCTTTGTACAGTTTTATTAAAAAAATCTTGTTAATATACAAGCATCAGCACACTTTAATACAAACTACAAACAGACCTTTCCTATTGTCTAGGAAAGTGGAATGTCAGAAGTCAATGTGAGAAACTTAAAGTGCTAAAACAGAAGGCACTTCACAAAATTGGTTCACTGAAACAATTTAGCATAACCATGTTACTGTCCTTCACCTTATAGTTTGGCAGTGAAAGCTTTAAAATTGTTTGAAAAAGATTTTAAAAAATACAAAAAGCTTCTTGGCAGTAAAGCTTCATACACAATGCTTTTACCTGTAAGTAACAAGCCTGGGTCATTACAAAAAAAAAAAAAAAAAAAACCTGCTATAAAACGGTTTTCACTTTTCATCCAGAAGAAGAAGTAAGGGAACTTGGGATCTTAAATCAAATTACCTGAAATTCATTATAATGAAAAAGCCCTTTCTTCTAGTTTTTGAATGTAAAAAGTTTTGTGAAGTAGTTAAGGAAGCAAAAGGAAAAACACTCCCAAAGTCGGTGAACTAAGAATTTATACATTCATTATTTTAAATACTTAGGTTATGAAGGAGTCTAGAATGTTACATAGTTAGAGGTAGATATGACAGTCTGGTTGATACCGAATCTAATAATTTAGTATCTGCACATCAAAAAGATCACAGACTCCTTCATTATCATCCAGGTTAAAGTTGTAGTCATCTCCAGGAGTGGGAGAGAGTCGTAAGAGAGGAAAAACTGTAAAAACAAGAACCATTTAGATAGTTAATAAGCTTTATTATAGTAGAAAATAGTGAGTTTTGAAGTCCAGTGATACTAGATGAAACATTAAAGAGGGATTTGGAAGTATCAATGAAAGACACCAACGCAACTCCACCAACATAAGATTAAAGAAAAAAATTCAGAATAGGTAGGTGCAGTTCATTACATTTCAAATGGATCTGCTAGCAATGCTACCTGGAATGGAGCCAATGCTGCATAATGGAGATTTCAGTTCCCTCAGCTGCAGCAAAGCAACTATTAAGCAGCCTTTGTGGTTGATACTAGTGATCTATTGTACTTCTATGCCCCCCTATTGTTATAGCATCTGTGCACCTCACCTTCTTCTATATATTTATACTAAAAGGTAAAAGTAATACTATTATCTCCACTTAACAGATGGGGGAACCAAGGCAGAGAGACTAAAAAGTCTTGCCCAAACTCACACAAAAATCTAATGAGTTCAAACCCACCATATTTTTCACATGCCATATGCCCCTAAGTAAGAGAGAGACTTTGTTTTGGGAAGGTAGAATGAAGAAAAAGAAAAGACTGTTCCACTCATCAGCTTCTTCATTTAAGAGAGAGACCACATTTTGGAGGATTGATTTTTGAGGAGGGGGAGGGGACAGCAGTAGGAAGGTGCATGTGTATGTGAGGAAATGCACCATATTTGCTCAGAGTGGCACTCAGATCAAATCACTGAATAGTTTTCTTAGTTACAGCCAGCAGGAAAAAGGGAAACAGGTGGAAGCATGGAGACTAGAACCAAGGAGGAGAGGAAAGGAGGTAGAACTGAAACAGGTCATAGTACTGGCATCCACTTTAAATAGTGGGTATATTTAATGAAGTGTGGAATAATATTTAGATAAGCACCCAACAAAACAGTCCATTAATACTCAAGTATGAAATACAAGCTTAAAACCTAATCCTTATTCATTGAAGCAAAACGGGAATCCTAAATGCTTACCATCTGAAGACATTAATTCATCAATGATATCACCGCTAATAGTGCCTGTTAAACATAAACACATGTTTGTCAAAGTCAATCTAGGTTCTGTGCATTAATCAGATATTAAAATAAAGCTGTGCTCAGCAACATTTCAGATTGGGGGAATGCTTCGTTAGAGCTTAGCTCTGAGCATGGGCTGCTTCCAACCTGACCCATGCCACCAGTCACTGTTCCTCCCCACAGTGCTACTGCCTCTTTTCCCTGAAGAAACACCTCTCCCTACCCTGGCTCTACAGGCAGTAAGTTCAAACCGCTAAAGTAGAGTGTTAGGTGAGGGGATTTTTCATGAACACTTGAAACAAAGAGCTACAGACCCTCCAAGCCAAAGCATGTTCTTCCTAGGAAAATTCACCAAAATGCTATTTGGTTAGGAGAAATGAAGTACAGCATCGGCAAAACAAAAAAGAAAAACAAGGTATCTTACCTGTGGGCTCTTCCATCTTTGCAATGTCAAATGAGTTTGGCTTGAGAATACAATTAACGTCCAAGGGAAGCAAGGCTGGATAGTCATTTGAGCTAGCAGTATTTTGCGTTACATCTGTTACAAGGCTAGTGTACAGGCCAGACTCTGGAAGGCTAGGGTAAGGATTTGCTGGAGCTGTATCACTCTGTTGCAAACTGCTTTCTAGAAAGATAAGAAAGGATGCATTATTTTTTTTTTTTAATTCTTGTAAACACGACCCATAATGCCTCCACCTTGTCCATTAGAATAGTAGTTCTCATCCTTTTTAGACCCAAGGTACTCCTCAGAAAATGCCAGCTCTTAGCTGTCACTAGTTTTTTTGACTACAGAAAAATAAAAGAGCGATTCTTTTGCTATTAAGAACTCAGAAAGACCACACCAGGTCAGAATGTTTTTGATGGTATGGATTGCTATTAGAAATCTCTGGGTTTTATCCTGTGAATCATGTTTGTACACCTCACAGTCCTAATATCACATGGCATCCTATAGCAAAGGATCTTGCAGCACTTTGGTTGAGAACTGCTGCATTAGAGCACGTCCAATATTTGCAGGCAAGTTAAATGAATCTCCCCTACTCCACAAGATGCACATATCTCCATAGACTCTCCAGAGATTTGGTTCTGGTATCCGTGATCTGTTCCAAAATAACATTTTATTACCTCAGCATTCATGATAAAAATGAGTGTGGATGATCTCTGCGATATTGCGGGAGAAGGCAACCACTTTTTGGAGTGAAAGCAAGAATTTTTTATGATCTGTTTTATGACAAGGTTCAAGAATTGCAGCCCCACTGGAGGCTTTCCATCTTATTCAGCTATTGCTACATCCATTTGGAAAAAAAAAAAGTCAGCTCAGGGCCCTGCTGTGTGCTAGTCCTAAGAACATTTCACAGGAATACTTCTGAGATCTTCCTGGTAAAAGACTAATTGTGAAAGAAAGTCTCAGCAGCAGTCTGAAGAGTAGAAACCTCCCTGCCATCAAGACAGCTGATACATAACATTGTTGATTCATTTTCCCTCCTACCTAGTTTTCTAAGAAAGTTTATTTGAGGGGAACCCCCCACCCCTCGACTTACCTGGTGGCGTCTCTGCAACAGATGTATGTGGTAAATGCTGCCCTTGGTCAAGACCATGGTGCTTTGATGTATCTTGAGTAGCTGTGGTAGGTTTTGGGGGAGTCACTGGTAGAGCAGGTTGAGATGGGGGCTGTGCAAGGTCATCAGGTGGAGGAACTGGAAACACCACAGGCTTGGAAGAACTGGATTCTTTATTAATAAGCAAAACATGGATAGGTCCTGAACTGCTTTTTAGATTGATCTGGTATTTCTTTTGTCCATTTTGTCCCTTTAATAATTAAAACAGATTATTTTTTTAGTTAGAAGTTCAAAAGAATTGTAAGTAGCTTCATTGCTTTCTATGGCAGTTACTGCAGGCAAAAGGGCTTTTATTAAGAATGTCACTGCATAGTTACATGCTGTCTATCTTCTAGTCACTGAACCCAGTACAGACAGTTCTTATGCAAAATTATCTGCTTGCAATCAGACAGCAAATATAATGACCCACATGAGCAATAAGCAGATTATAAACTTGCTATTCACACAATCAAAAAATGTCACAATACAGAATTTGTGGCAGGTTCACACAATTTAATTCATACTTATCCAAGAATCACAGTATGTTTCTCATAACAAACCAGCAGTGAAGACCTTTGGAGACTATTTACATGTAAAATAATTTCCTTTTACACTCATCTGCAAAATTGTTTTAATTGGGACTAAGTATCCTGTTATGGCTGAATCCTTTTCCCTTGATTCACTGAACACAGGACAAATAAGTCTTAATAGGGACCATTTACTAATAGAATTGTCAACATTAAGCTTCTCTGTTAACGAGGGCTGGTTTCTCTGGTGCAGATTAGCAAGTGCTGTGCCACTTCAGGGGATTAGACAACTTTTTTTCCCCGCATTTTGAGGAGAAAAAAAGGAAGAAAAGGAAGAACCAAAAAGGGCATAATTTACAACTTAACTTAAGACTGGACTCCAAGTTATAATGAAACTCAAGACATTCTAAAACAATCTGCCCCCAAAGAGCCAGAACTTATGCTGCAACTGGCAAATATTTCTGTTACAGAAAAAACTTGAATTGTGTGCATCCATCCGTACTGAGGGCAGTCTCACTAGATCAGCTTTGCAGCTCGTGAGGGATTTTTTATGCACTTAGAGTTTAATTACTGCACTTGGATGAGAATTGAATCACTCATTCCTCACTTGAGTTTAAATGAGAAACTGGTCAAATGGAATTGCTCTCCTACAAGCACAATGGCAAATATTCTTTGTGCCACTTTTCCTATCCATGTAGGCAGTGTTGAAAAGAGGGGGAAAATATTTCAATAAAGAAACTGAAGATACAAAGATGGCAGAAGAGAAGCGATTTGCTTTGTTGGCTTTTATCTTGCTCACCCACCAACCTGGTCAAAGCTTTGTTTCATCATGTTCTCTGCAAAATTGTTATGCAGTCTCCTTAACCTCCTCGTTCTATAAAAAATATGATTTGGGGTTTCTGAGTTCTTTGGGCCAGAAGGGGTATGAGAGCAAGGAACTTATCACAGAAGGATCAATGTTGGCTGACTTTAAAAAGGGAGACCAAGGCCATTACTTTTTGCTGTGAGGGTTGCAGCAGCATTTGGGAGTGGGTAAGAGAAGGGGAAAACTCCATATCCAATTACATGAATCTTAATAGTTTCTCTCACAAGTGAAAAGAAAAAACACCCTGATTGGCACAGGTATTATTCCCCCAGCCTCTTAGACAAATATAAGCGGGTTGTTCGTACATACCATTTCAGGTATAGGAACTTCTAACTGTGTACCACAAGGTGCTTGAATTGCTAGAAGCGTGTCTCCTAGTTAAGTAGTAATTTTAAGAAAATATTAACCACACTTACAACTTTCCACATACCTGCATAGTAGTACACACTCACATAGGATACTATTCTACAGATTTCATACACTGCACCCTTTCAAGATAAATATGAGAACAAAAAATCAAAATCAAATCTCATTGTGTAATCATATGACATGGGAACTACTCATACTGCGACTGTGTGGATTTTGCAGAAATTGTGGACTTGGGAGATCTCTGTGAAATTGCGGGGGGAGGAGAGGGACACAAGAACAAGATACAAAAAACCCTTACTAAAATAAAATGCTGGCTTTCCAGTGGCAGCCAGCAGTCCTCCTGGCTGTGCAGTCTGGCACAAAGGCAAGCAGGTATGTTGGCTGCCGCCCCCACTCCTTGCTGCTGACTGGCTGAGGGGGTTGCCTGTTGCGCAGCCCCCACCCCTCTCCACCAATCAGTGGCAAGGGGTGGGGCTAATCAGAGGCATAAGCCCATGGAAGTGGCAGCCACCCTAGCAATTTTCCTGTGAAATTGGCTGGCTGCCTCCTTGAGTTGGGTAGACTCCTACATATGACCCCAATAATTCAGGAAGTATACCCCACAGTATCTGAGCATTAACTGACATCCCTTTACAACCCTGACAAAATTGGATACGATAAGCCTCATGTTCGGTTCTGAAATGAAGTACTGTTAAAGGCATTATTTTTAAGACTGCAAATATGGAGTTCCTGACCGGCTAAAAACACTTAAGGATTTCTGCCCAATAGCAACTTACCATTGAAGCAATTACAGATGTCTTCATGAGTGATGTATGAAAATGTAACTGCTGTCAAGGAAATTTTCAAAAGGCAAACAAACTGAATTCTTCCTTAAGTACTGTGCAGTTGGTATTTGTGGCAGTTTGCAAAGGGTATTTAGTATTTCTACTTTATGCTATTTGGGCCAATATACGCTACAATCTTTTTGCGAGCAGCTAGGCTGGTCAGAGATATGAACTTCATTTGATGTAGCTCTGCTAACATTAACTAGCTAGTTTGTATTGTTGAATATATATGAAAGAGAGGGGCATATGGGGAAGGAATATTTTTGAAAGATTTAATATATCAAATATTGACATTTTTTGTAGGAAAAAATATATATGCGCACACACATGCATGCTATTCCTTCACTGTTGACTTGGGATGCACAGTCTCAGTTCTTAGCAAACTGACTCCAATGTCCTTCACACAGCTGGACTTAGCTATTGGTTTTAAAAATACATAGATCGGAAAAAAAAAGCTATTCTTTTAAAAGTGTATGGCTGCACTTCTGAGTGATGGCCTTTCCCACTGTTACTAGTATTGACCAAACTGGTTTCAGGTCAGCTAAAGTTCATCAGGTTAATGATCTGGGCAGTTAAGCAACCCTGACATGATAAACATATTTGATTTTATTGAGCAGTTCCTCTTGAGCAATCATAGCATAGTGATAAGGACTTCATAACTGCTTATAGGAAAGATGGCATTTTTCCCTCCCAAAGTCCCCAGTTATAGAATATGTGAAACAAAATTGGTAAGAATACTAAACACGGCTACATACTATAGGCACAAACACAACAAGCAAAACTAATTATTGGCTGTTTACACACAAGGAAAATACAAGTTCCAGTGAATCTCAGAAATCTTACCTTTTCAAAAATTTAAGTAACCTGTCTTGTAAACAGCAACAGAAATAAAACGCCAAAAAAAGATCCTATGGTCCTGTTAAAAAGCTTAACTTACACGTATGAATACAATGAATTTCAGTTAATTCCAAAGGCTGCATTTTCTTCATTAAAAAATTGCTCTGTAGCAGGGAAGTACAAATTATTAATATTTTCATCTTTAGGTCAAGCCAAAACTGAATTTATCCAAAATATCTGGCATAATACAACGACTTATAAATTTTGTATCATTTTGAGGCCTTTTAAAAATAAAAGCAAAGGACTGGATTCAGAAGGGAATTTCAATGCCATCCAGAACTTGTGGTAGTACTGATAATGCCAGTCCCATGGCCTAGTGGTTAGGTCCTTTCCTGGGCTGAATTGATTCAGTCTTTGCAGGTTAGTCTAAATTGCAAAGATTGATCCAATAAGCAAATGAACAGACATTCACCTTTGCTTCAGGAAATACAGCCATGTACCTGCAGTGGCTCAAGCCAGAAGCTGGGAGGGAGCTAGACCATGGCTCTCTGGCACGTAGCCAGCATGGGCTGTGTATTTGCTTCCTCTTTCTGGTGCCTCCAAGGTTTCTGGAATTTGCAGTCCACAATCATAGCAGCAGGAATCTGCAGGATTGTTCATTACTTCCTCTTACTGCTTCCAGGTGCCTCTGGGATTTACAGTCCACAGTTGCAGCCAGCAGTAAGTTTAGCAGGGCAGGGCAGCTCTGTACTCAGGGGAAGGGAAGTTTAACACCCCTGGTCCCAGACCTCCAGCTAGGGAGCAGAGGGGTAGGGCCGGCCCTGCTCTCTGGAACAGATAGCACAGCCCAGCCCAGGGCTGCAAAATGCTGGGGGGACTGTGATTTAACTTGAACCAGAAAGGAGTCTGGGACAGAAGTTTCATAAAGTGGTTTAACCTAAATCAGTTAAGTCTGATACTGCATTCAACCAAATTTATCTTAAACCAGTTTCAGCCACTTTGAAACTGGTTGGTATGCACTGAAATTCTATTCTGTTAGAAGTTTAAACCAGTTTCTGATCACTTAAACCAGTGTACGTGTAACTTCTGTCCCTAGTCTAAAAGGTGAAGAACCAGGGTTAAAATCCTCACTTTGAATGAAGTGGAGAAAGGATCTGAACTCGGGTCTCTTACACCCCAACGGAGTATCACAACCTCTGGGCTCTCTCAGAAAAGGAATGAGCACCACGCTTTCTCTTCCTCAGTTTTTCATATGGCACCTCAAGGCCTATGTGGATCTAGCCACCAAAATGATGTGGCTCAGTTTGGAAACGGCAATACTAAATTTTTGAGCTTTCTGGATTTTAATTTTGCTAAAACTATTTGCTTAAGTTCAACTTAAATTCATGAATAGTTTTGGGTTACCACAAGAACCTTGGTGAATTAATCATCCATTGAAACCCCCCACCCTCTCCAAAAAACACATGCAGTTCAAGTTAAAACTTAAAAAGGCCTAACTGCAATATCCAAAATCTTGCTACCAGCTAAATATTTCTCTTCCCCAAAGTATATTTTCCAGTACTTTGTCTAATTCAGTTTTAAAATTTCACAAGCATGCTTGCTTTCACTTTAGACCTTTCCATGTATTTAACAGCCTACTGGATCTTGCTAGCAACTCATAACTCTCACTTCAAAAGTGAAAAGTGAGTTATTTCCACAAGTACTGCAAAGAAAACTAAAATTCTACTTTAACTGAAAATGTACAAGTGATTCCATTTCTTTTATTGTTAAAACCCCAATAGGTCACCTAGTTCAATTTTCCTTTTCTTGCTTCCCATGAACATCATGCTTTACCAGCCAGTTATTTTAATTCTATTTTGAAGGCACATCCAATAAGTGTCCAAAGGATATTGGTTGTTTGTGGAGTCATCCATTACATTTTTGATGCTTTGCTGCAGCCACAGTTTTTGCTGATCCAGCTCTTTTTCTTTTAGTTCCAGATCTTCAATTTCGGCTTCCAGATACCTCAGCCTGTCTATGACTTCTTTTGTATTGCAGCCAGCACCTACACCTCTTAAAAAGGTATAATATTGTATCAATATTATATGCAACAACATAATACTTCTTTATCTATTTTCTTCTTCAGGTTTGGCAGTGCTTTCTGTACCCATTCCAATTTTCCCCAAGCTGACTGTTACAGGGGGAATCTGGGGAAGGGAGAGTGGATTATGTTTGGTTTTGCCTCATGTTTTGTTTTTTGTTTTTAATAAAAAGGTAGAGCCTTTGGCTCCTCTCTCACTTCAGATCTACCACAGAACAATATTTTGATCCCATGCCCCAGATTCATTTTTCAGTTCAAGAACCTACTTTAGGACCTAGTTATACAAAGTGTTATGATTGGTTATACAAATGTTAGTGAACATGAGAAATACCAGATTGACAGTCCCCCAAAAGTGAACACTGTCCAGACACAAAGGTATGAAAAGCAGCAATATGAGCTTTCCCACGCTCCCCCCTGCCAACATGCACAAAGTACTTTAGTCTCCCTAGTCCTACCTGAAAACAAAGACGACACCTAGTAATGGGACTACTGACATTTCGTATGTCACATCCTAATCTTAACATATATTTTAAATTGCCAATTGTTTAATTGTTCATGGAAAAAGAACAACTTTTTTATTTCTTGAGCCCATGAAAACATACACAGTTCACATCTTACTTCCACTGAATGCTGTTTTTTGACTTTTTCTCAATCAAATCAATCCCTTCCAAAACATTGGTGATGTCATAGATTCTTCTTTTTTGTCTGACAGCAAGAGTATCAGCAGCCTGTTAAAAGAAAGGAAATAGATGCCAGTGACTTGGGTGCTGAGCGCAAGAGTCTAGGGTCATTAGGTTTCTCCCCAGAGGCTGAGCTAGCCTCCTGGGTACTGCAGAAGCTAGTCACAATTCTGAAGGGAAGACCCCTGACACCCATAGATCCCAAAGGACCTATTTTGCATCACTGTCATTATCAAGAGCAGAGTCCCTGCTTCAGCTCAACCAAACCACACACAAGAATGGCATGCAGGTCTCCCTAAAGCATGCTGGAAGAATCCCCCATGTATTGTAACATAGGGGCCAGTTTTTAGAAGGCAGGGAATGGCAATAGTGAAGGAGGAGTGACCAAAAGTCTAGAGAGAGAGAAAGCTCAAAGCAGCTTTCCCTCCTCTGAGGTTGGATTAAATCAAATTTAGGGCAGAGCATCAGCATATGGAACAATGAAAGGTCTCACTAATCAGGGCTGTATGATATATAAAGAGAGGAGCTACTTTTTGTTAATACATTTCAGGCCTCTACCACTGGAGCTGACATTTATTTCAATCACCTTAAGGCTACATCTGCTCTGTAGTAAGAACCGTGAATGCAAGTGTTGACATATTCAAGATAGCCCAAGTGCTGATAGCAATGAACTACAGTGACACAGTCTTCCACTGTCCAAAATTACCTGCTGTACAGCTCGCATTACCACACAGCTTCATTGCTATATTGATGCCAGTTAGGATTAGTCTACATGAGATGCAATTATGCCTGTCACTGCAATGTGGACAAGGCCTAATGGGAAAAAAACAGAGTAACAGAGCAGGCTATTTCTTGTGTTTTAGTATGAACATGGAAACCAAAAACACAACATAGCAACTGAGATATCAATGTCTTTACTATATGTTGACCCTTGCATTTCAAGAGTAATACACACTTCAAACTGGTTTTGCCAGTACCATAACTGACCGGGGGGGACGGGGGGACACGACACCTTAGGCAGTAGTCCTATTGCTGCCTTTGGCATGGGGTGGGGGGGTGGTGCACAAAAGCAGCTGTCTCTGCAGTGGAGACTGATTGCACTGCAGCTCTGAGCACTGACAGCTGCTCCAGGTACAGGCCTGCTCTGCTGCGTCTCTGGCTTTGCTTTCATATTGCATATTCTACACTGAAAAAAAAAATCCAAAAATCACAAAAAGCCATGAGTCATAAACAGCACAGGGACTTATTTATTTACTTGAATCCAGGACAAGGTTCTCCCCATCCCCACCCCATTCAACATGGAGGGGGTGAAAGTCCCTCATCTTGGATTCAAGTACAGGGCATCAAAGGGGCATGTGGCTCCTATGTGCCTCCTTTCCCCCCCACCTCCCACAGCGGCTTACCCTCAATTCTTTCATGGCTTCAACCCAGGGCACAAAGCACATGCTTGCTCTTGCTCCAGCCCCAGCCCCAGCCTAGCAACAGCTGTTACAGGGGTGGCAGCAGCTTCAGCCAGGCCTCAAAGCCTGGACTGGGCCAGAACTGCTAGCACTAACACTGCTACCAGGCCAGACTGGGGCCAGGAGCACCCCGCCTCCCAGACCATCTACCCCTCTCCTACTTGCCCTTCCCTCATCGTGGTTGAGGGGATGAATTTAAGACTATGATACACAGAATGTACATAGAAAATAACTAATTTATATATTTTCTATTCACAGAATTTAATTATTGGGGTGGGAGAGGATCATGTTAAATTCAGAGTCACCTTGGATTTGGGTAAATACAGTACTTTGTAGAGAAAAAAAATGGGGAACCATTATACGCTTAGCAACTGATCAGTTTTGGACGTTTGAACAGAAAAAAGGAACATCAGTTAGGACTCCAGGTTTACCTCTTTTTGAGACGGCTTAGGAGGCTTAGCTTCAGTCTGGAAGACCAGCAAAGATAGGTAAGCAGTAGGTCTGTGCGAAGTGGCAAGTATTTGCTTCAGATTTGGAATTGGCCAATTCGGAGGACAGCGATTCGATTTGGAGATTCAAATTGTTGTCCCAATTTGATTCGGCTGAATTGGATCCGAAAGATTTGGCCATAGATTAAACAGGCAGCTGACACAGCTGCCTCCAGCTGGTAACTATGTTGGGGCTGGGGGAGGGAGGAGGAAAGGGGCATGGGGGAGGGAGGGATTGGGGCTGGGCTGCAGGTGCGGCAGG